AGTGTGCCTTTTGCTTTTAGCGTAAAGATAGCGCATTGCGTGGGATTAGAACAATGCATTACGCAGGGTTTGACATGCACCGTGCAAAATTTGTTGCTATAAATCGACCAGTCAGAATTATGAATTCAAGTTTGCTTGAAGATAAGGTCATATGTCAAGCTGTTGGCAATCGTAACCTCAGCATTGGTGACTGTACTAAATAAACTGCGTTCATTTGAGAGCTTGTTGCCCATTCACCGACGTGTATAGGTGTCAAACTGTCTCTAAGGAAAACGACTCTTGGACTCTGGTTTAAATTTTGAAAAAGTAGATATCTCAACCTGGAGGGATGAAAGCCACCAAATGAAAAGCATTTAAGAAATGCGCATGCGTGTTACTCGCGAGCCAAGCCCACCAAGTTCTGACCAGTGAACAGACCCCAGACGTGCGCGGGAAGAGTACGTCAATGATATCCTTTTGTTAATAACGACTTCGATTGCTGAAATAAATACAAAAGAATAAGCGCTGAATTCAGCAGCCCTGAAAACTGCAAAGGAAATCAAACTCAAATAATTCGATAACTCCCATTGTTTCGACCACCTGCCAGTTTCATTAAAACCTTGAAATGTGTAAAAAACAGATTACGTGAGTTTAGACAAGGTTATACGTTACCTTCCCTTTATGAATCATTTTCAGCTTATAAACGTTTTTTAATTCTAACTAGGCCTCTGCCTACATAAATACGAAGATATACCTCTAAAAGTGCGTATTGATGCAGTTGATAGTACTTGAGTTACAAAAAGTTTCAAGTTAATTAAATTTAGAACCATTTGCACTTGTTATTTCCAACGTTTAATGAAAAATTGGGGGCGTGATTCTCATATTTTTGACGACAAAATAATGAAATTTCGAAACTTGTGCATCGTAGTGAGACGTTTTAATTTATGAAAATCCTAAAGCCAAAACATGCATTTTACAAATATTTGAATAATTTTTTAAGAATCATGCGAAACATTATTTTCACAGTTGGTGAGGTAAATATCCCGCTAGCACTGGACTTCAAATCCGTTTCCATTTCAATTCCTGCATAGATTCACCTGTTGCCTTTAGATTGAGTGAAATTCAGGTAAATACCTATTGATTTTCTTTAAGCCTTTTATGATGACTGTCCTTGGTGCTAATTGTACAAATTGTTTCCAGTGATTTTGTTCGATTACGCGGAAATTTTTTTATCGAGTGATTAGTAAAGACCCCATACTTTTCTAGGGTTAATTTCAATCAATAGATAATCTGCTTGTTTGCCGAGTACTATAGTTTCAAGGCAAATAACGAAAGAAATCGCTTATGAGCAGGGAATTCGATCGATCAGAAATAACATATGTAGACAAGGACACGTCACATGACGTTGCCATTGAACGACTGGTGCAATTATACAATATGCAGAAAATTACTTTGTGACACATTTCTGGACTTCTCGTTACCGTGCAAACGCCGTTCCACGCTCAGTTTCGTCTGCAAATCGTGCAACGTCAGACGGTATTGGACAGGCAGCCCTGCTTCCAGTGGGGTAATGTGCAGTATCTGACATGAATGGTGGTCTTTTTTCTTCAGTTTCACGACTGAGAAATTATTAAAGTGTATTGAAGATTGCCAACCTAGATTTTGTGCGTAGTCTATACGGCTGGGTACCCGATATCCTTGGCCGTATTTTGTTTCACACGGATCTAGATCACAATCAGTGATCCGCCGTTGGTTTACAGACGCCAAAACCTGCCTAATCGATGGTGCGAACCATCGTAACGATCACTGATCACGATCCAGATCCATGTGAAACAAACAGGGCCCATGTTCAGATTGTGACAGTAATTGGACATGCTGGTCTACGGAGTGTGTGGTTTGTTTCTTGATTTTCTTCCTTAAAGTATCCCTTCTGAAGGCATATAAACTATAACTAAAGAATTCGATCGTAGATAAGTTCATTCATGGTTTAAAAATGATATAAACTGCAGTCTCGTCTTGCTTGTTTCCATTTAATCATTTAAGTCTTGCTCTCTTGATGCAGGTCAGATCACCCCGTAAGTGGACAGGACAAGCTACACAATGGCGGTGTCCAGGACTCTCGTCCTGTTAGCAGCAGTAGTCGCCACCGTCACTGCAGGCAGGAAAAATCTCCTTTTCATTTTGAAAGGCTGAATTACAGTTGTACTCTAGTTTAGTGCAACAATTCTCATTTTCCAAAAAAAGATTTTGCAATACGAGTGTCAACAAACCAGATGAAAGTTATTTTACTGTAAAAGACCAATTGGGAAATTACCAGGAACTATTGCGCACACGATTAACGATTAATCAGTAAAATGTACAAATAAGAAAAAGCAACTTAAACAGTTACACATAAAAATTATGTTGACTTGACCTTGTAATTATATTTTACCGTCATTTGGCTGCCGATGATTTCCAGTAAATTCAAGGAATTTTTACAGCCTACAGACTTTCAAGAAACCTTGATTATGAAACTCATGTAAACTTGTGCATCTGTTCAGGATCAGTTCCGACGTGTCAAGTGTTCCAGACCAAAAAGAGCAAAGACTTACAGTGGTTTCCAGGCCCTCTTCCGTCGTCATATTTTCGATTCAACTTCAGGTATGCACGCTTCATGTTCGATTTCGATTTTGGTCAGCAACTGTTAAACCTATCAAAATGTTATACTGTGGATTAAACATGCAGATAGTCTAAAGTGAGCCGAATTAAAATTAGGGAGAGCAAGACTTACTATCTTGAGCTGCTTTGCTTGAGAATTATGAAATCTGACTTTGTTTAGACTTTTCTTCCAACCTGTTGGACAATAAGGTTTCTTTTTGGCGTGTGGATGGTGGGGAAAGTGAGGCAACGAACAGTTGTCTTCCCGCTGCTTGGTCCGCAAGCTTGTGACGTCATCAGAATTATACTTTTAATTGTCTCTCACGCCATAAAACTTCACCCTTTTTACCAACACAATAAATTTCAAGATCTCTTAAGGAATGCATGCTGTCAACTGCAGTATTTTAGTCCATGCTGCATTCATTTTAACTTCGTCGATACGACAACTGGCGGTCTTTTTCTTTAAATTCTTCGATTTTTCACTATCGTGGTTCTTTTTTTTTCTGCCGATAATATATCCATAATTTTTCCAGAGTTGCTGCAGTTGGTGACGTGAAGATTGTACTCTCAGACGGCAAGGGTCGCAGAAGTGACCGAGTCACCATCCGTAAGATACTACAATTCCTCTCTCCCTTAAGCATTCGTGTTTGTATAGGCACTGCATAGTGTCTTTAAATGCCCTTTCGCGCCCATACAAATCACTCCAACTTTGTAGAAGATCTGCCAATCGCACTACTTCTCAGTAGTCACAAAGAAGTTACTGTGGCGAGTTTTAAATTGTACAAGTTTAAACCATCTTACAAAATAATGAACGCTGCTTTTATCAATTCTGAAACACAGTTGTCTTTAAAAGTAATGAGGCAAAAACATATTTTGAAACTAACCTTCCCACAATGGAGGAATATAATTCTGCTAAGGCCACCCACAGAAAGTTTAGACGCGACATCATCTATGTGGACCTCTATTTAGTTTATGAAATTGAACCTCTATTTTGCATGTATTGGCAGCCATGGTTTGTATTAAGTGTGGCCTCATCACTTGTTAACCACTTTTACCTCAAATTGAACATTTCACTTGTTATTGGAAATTAACTCAGTTAGTCCGTGACAGAAGGTCTCCTGATCCTTTGAAGATTTGCGTGAGGTAATTAAACGATTTCAAAACGATTTTAGAACTAAAACATTGGATTTCTCTGCTGACGGCTAACTCTAGCACAAACTGCGATTTCACGCAGCGGAAGATAGGTCTATAATTCCGGCATGGCTTCTTGCCCACAGTTCTTGGTGACAAGCAAAATTCCCAGTCTTCCATCAGACGTAGGCGTCAGGCGTCAAAGGAGATCCAGTCCACTGCAAATGAATTAATTTGTGGAGAATACAACAGCTACTGGGTGCAGTTTGAGCCAAGGTAAGAATTTGCATTGTACTTTGTTTAGAGTAGCCTGGGATACATTCAGCCCTCAGGAAGTTAAGCATTCCGTCAATCGTTAAACACTTCTCATAGATTACTGCAGGAACTCAAGTCCATAACAGGGTTCAAATACCCTAAAGGAAGTAGCGCAGTGTTTTCTCTAAACAAAACTGTAATGCGAATTCCAAGACGGCTCATTCCCGGGACTCTTTGTCTTGGAGTACCCCTGGGGTGGGCACATTGTTTTTAGGAGAGCACTACAACGAAAAATAAACTGCAGCTGCATAACTTTATAGACTCAACTGTGGTCATTCACAGATTTCAAATGGGGGAGGGCACCAGCGAGGGGGACACGGGCATCAGCCGGGGACATGTACCCCCTCCCCAGTTACGATACTGGTTCATTCCAACCGAAGAGGGGGTGCTTCTGCCCAAGACCAATAACGTTACAGATTCAATATCCACCGTGGTGCTGTGATAGCTCAGTCTATACCCATGCTGCTCAGCAAGCTCCTGATCCCGGTTTAGAACTCTACCCTCTGTGTCGCTTTTTCAAATTTCATGACTTCCTTTAGTATTGCTATCCGCCTAGACCAGAAGAGCCCCCCATTGGATAAAATGGACCATGTCGGTCTGGAGTGTTTAATTTGCTGGTAGCGACGCCCCCGTAACTTTCGCATTTTACAGTCATTTGGTCTTGGCCAATCGGGGCTCCTTGGGGTGTTTGTTTGTTTGTTCGTTCGTTCGTTTGTTT